TCAAGTATACGACATGCAGCAACATCAGAACAAACTGAGCTTCATAAGTTATTTTGTGAACATGTATAGCTCTATTATAGTTATTCTATGTAAGAGTTCTCTCTAATGAACCCTCTGCAATATCTTTACTCTGAATAACAATTTTCATTTTCTCTAAACTCCAAACAGTCTTTTAGTCTTTCTCTTGTTAGTCTTCCCTTACAGTTCTTTGACAAAAATGCATTCATAAGGAAGAATGGGTGTGGCACCGCGTTCATTACGTGAACTACAAAGATTGTTTTGTCTCCTGTTCCAATATATATATATATAATTAATTAGTATATCACAACATTGTGCCAGTTGAATGATGAAATGTTGCATTATAGCTAGTAATATGACCATTGGTTAGTTGGTGTCTTGAACAAAATATAGGTAAATATAAATAAAGAATGGTAGTAAATATAAAGTTAGTCCTAAAATGTGTAATTTGCACTCATCACCAGAAAAGTGTCACAATTGAGTGATCGAATTTAGGTTGAACAGGTGTCGGCCATTTTTAAATTACAAAATGACCGCCAGACAACAGTACAGTGAAATTTCTCAATCATAATGATTCGAAACATGTACCTATCACAAAACAATAGTACAGCTGCAATACATGTCACTTAATAATTTTATAATTATTTTATAATCTAGCTGTAATGGGGGAAACCTATCGATAATACAGGTCCATCATGCTGAAACATAATGCCCTTAAATATAATTATGTCAGACCCAGCTGGTCCTATCAACTTAGTACTAAAGCCAATTGTTTCAGACCTGGTTTGGGTTATAGTACGCCATGAAATAATTTGAAAGTAATAAATATGTTTAAAATAAAGATGATAGTGTCCACTCTTTCCATTGCGGTCATACCTATACGATCAACATAGTGGGGAAATAAATGTTGATAGGAAGTATGTAAGATAGATGGGATGCATTTTAACCTGCACAGACTGTCAGCTGTGTTATTCGTAGTACACTTTATTGACAAAAATGATTTCATAGCATGCATTGCGATAAAGTCAATCATTGATTCATTGACTTTGTATTTATTTTGTCCAGTCTAGTAGAAAAAAACAACACACCGAAAGAATACAAACGCGGTTGTAATATTTTATTATTATTAGTTTGAGCTTTGTAAATGTCCAACGCATTCATAGTGCAGACAAGCTAGCAAAAGTATGTGTTTATTTGTGAATGTCGCGTGTTAAAATAACATGCAAACTCGTTATAGATATTGAAATGGTGATAGAGTCAACGTTTAACACATTTGACAATTGTGCACAAAGTCAATGTGAGACAACTTCTACGTCAAGTTTAAACAATTGAACTTTCCTTTCAGTGTAAGGTTACATTGACGAGATTATGCGAATAGGGGTTGTATTACAAGCTTAATAGGTTTCCTCGATGAATGCGCATGTAGAAGATAAATTCGAATATATTTGTAATCGAAATTCTACTTTTAAAACAGAGATAGTTTGGTAATTATATTTGCCCGTATGATAGAATCATTGTGTCCACCATTACTGAGAGGTAATTCCAATCCCCGCAATCAGGAATTGCAAATACGCCTACATTCACGTCGTGAGTATGTAACTCGCCGCTAATTTCAGTTGTTCCCGAATAAACACTAAACGTAGATTTAGAAGAAGGCAAAGTTCACAAGTATCATTGATAACTACTTAGCTTGAAAGTCTGCAATCCTGTTATGACAAGCTGACAAATACAAACAGCTTGTCAAAATCCGGTAATAGGTAATGGGAACAAAA